AACAAAGAAAACGAAACTTGTTATAATGCGAAGCAACAACAAAAACCTAAATTTAACTAATCTCTTATACACATCTAGATGTGTATAAGAGACAGGTATTATATATATATATATATATATAAAATATAGAACTTATTTCGTAATTATGGCACATTTACTGCTTTAACATCTTAGTTTTGTTTTTTTGACATACAGATAAAGAGCAACACCTGCAAGACAAAGTAAATTTATAATTAAAATTACCAACTAATTTAAACTACTTTGTGCTGTATTAAAGTATTGAGAATACTTACTAATTGTCAATATAATTATAATTTAGGTTTAAATAGGGTTTATTCTGTTGTTCGTTTCTCGATAGCAAAATTGTCCAAAAGTTTTGAAGTGATTTACCTATATTAATTGCGTATTTATTTTTTTATGGTTATATACTTTCATCTTATATAGGCATATTCATGATGAAATGATAATAAGGCGGTGTTCATCTTTGCGTTTGATTGTGGTGATCTATAACTTGCCCAATTGTGCAAATCCATTTGACTGTTTGTGCACAAAATTTGTGCAAGGTAAACAAAATGGAACGAAATTATAATAATAAATAAAGCCTTACTTCGAACAAGTGCGCTTGCGTGTTTGCAATCTGTAAGCGTTGAGCTGCTAAATCGTTGAGTGTGAGGCATTTGATAGACACAAAAGTTGCTCTGAAACGAGAGATATTCGTAAACGCAAATAAAGAAAACAAAATACATATAAATAGGGTGCTGATGCTGCTGCGGCTCCTTGGCGATCGTAACGTTGCCTCTCGTAGGTGTCTTACGTAATATATTACGACGTGATTTATGAACGATTTTTATCAGTAAATACGTAACGACTAAATATACATACATATACATGTAATATGTAACGATATTTGCAACACCATTCTGCCTACTAGCGCCACTACTACCACAACACAGCTATTTAAACATTAAACTACTACTGCTACTGCTCTTCTATGAACTGTGTTCAATGCTCAGGGAAGAACCAAATATATCTTGATAATTTTGTTTGTTGAGTTTGTTTTTGGAATTGACAGTTTTTCTTATTCAATAATTACTGTACTCAAGTTTAAGCTATTTTGAAAATAATCACCAACGCTGCAGCAGTTTGTTCCATTTAAAAAAACGTTAAATAATAAATAAATCAATTTTTAAACATAAAACCTTTTAACTTACAATTTATAAATTTAGTTTGCAAATAAAACTTTGTTCAACATTTTCACATTATAAAAAAATTTCATGCACATATAGCAATCCAGTTCTGCATTTGCCTGGATATAAATTCAAAATAATATATATATATATACATATATAAAGCGATTTTCGTACTAAGTAAATTTTAGCAATCCTTAGAGGCAATTTTATAGTCGGATTTGCAAAATACATTCTTTGTTTATGATGGCCAAACAATTAGATAGTGCTTCGTTTTGTTCACTTGTCGTTCCTATTGACGATTGTATTACTTTAGCAAAAGCAGTTCCAGCTAACAATTTATTGTACAGTTGTTAATATATTTCAATATTATTACTATTATTATTTCATTCTAATTGATTTAGTAATTCGACAAACTATGCATTGTGTGTATTATATTTCGAACTAAAAGTTGATTTTGTGCAAATTTGTATTTAATTTAAACAATTGCAATTTGGTTTTGTAATTTTAAATGTGATTAATATTAGACATATGTACACATGTACATGTGCGCGACGATAAGTGCAGGGGAGTGAGCCATAAAAAGAACTTTTGCAAATAATTTGTTTTTTTGTTTTTTTTTTTGCTTTGATGCGATATAATTAATATGCAATATTTTTTTGTTTTAATAGTTGTCAGACCTAAAAGTTGACAACAAGTTATAAACAAGCAATGAGAATAAAAATTTTACGGTCATTATGAGTGTAACCACTTTTAAAATATCTTCTGCCTACTCCTGCTTTTATTAATAAATATATATGTATATCTAGATAAATATTAAATTAAATACCTTTATTAAACAAACAAAAATATAATTTAATTGCTCATGAGTAAAAACTTCACAATGATTTTAGAATTTAGATAATTTCGTTGTATGAATTTTCGCAAGCAGTAAAAAACTTCCAAATTTATCGCCTTTAATTAATTTTAGAGGAAATGTACTAATACTAAACAGAAAGAAGTATGTACTTCCCAAAAATAAATTTCAATAAATTTACTTAAGACTGAGCAAAAAAAGGAAGAGGAGAGTGAAATTTTAGAGAGTCTCGAATACAACTATAAAGAATTAGGTGCTATCGACCATTTAAAATTATTTATTTATTAAAAAAAATAAAAATAAGAATCACGATTTCAAAGATAAATATAATTTCATCCAGACACATTGAAAAARTAAATATTTTATTGAAATGCAAGTCTGAAGGCTTCACAACTTATCTTAATTATGAGAATTAGCAAAAAATAATTGCATATAAACTGCAAAGCTACTTCAGTGAAGTATTTGCATTAAAAAGTTATTCCAAGTGTCCTTTACATGTGTATGAGCACTCAATTCTGTAACAAAAAAATTGAAAAGTTAAGCAAAGTTTACATTTTATAACACGAAATTAAAATGTTATAGGCTCTAGGCGCTAGCAATCAGTGTATGCTCTTTTTGAAAATCAACATTATTACTTTTTTCTTCTAAATACAATAAAAATTCAATATACATATATTTTCTCCACGCCATAAATATGCAATTCAAAGGCTAACTGTTGCTGAGGTCTATCGCAAGCGTTTTTTGATTTATTTTTCACGATTTACTTGAGTAAAGGTTGCCGTTTTTGGTTGAGTCACTTACAGTGARCGTGTGTCCGTGTATAGTGTAAATTAGCAGGAACTGTCTTTTACTTCTGCAGTGTCCTCCTTCAGCGTTTTTACCGCCTAGTAGTGTGTCTTTATAGTTTATTGTTTCTTCTGCTAATTTGTTACAACTTCAATTTGTTTTTTTTTTTTTCATTAAAAACTTGTTTTCGTTAATAATTTCGTTCATTTTGATATACATTTATATATGTTTTAACGTATATAATTGTATTTGATTTCATTAACCATTAAATTACTGTTGTCGATTTTTTAATTAATTCTCGTTGTACATTTGCCGAATTTTTTAAGTGCGTTTTAGATTTATTTATTTGAGTTACATATTGTTACGTTTGATTTCATTTTGCAGCCAATTGTGCTTGTGCGTTACATAATTTTATTGATTTAATGAAAAACAATAAAATTTAATATATTGGTGCTAAATGAATATTAATTTAAAAAAAAATGTAAACGATTTGAAAATTTGGTTTCGTTACATCACATAATCGACGTTCAAAAATCTGCTGTGTTTTTAAAAAAGTATTCGTATGTTCGTATATTTTTCAAATATTGTATTAGTTGTTATATTTTTAAGAGCTTTTCCTATTAATATTTTAGTGATCTTTTTTTTTTTAAGTTATCCGTTATTAAAGTCAAAAAATTAAAAAAAATTAAATTGTTTCAAGAGTTTGTTTGTTAAAGAAGCTAAAGCATTTTTTCTAAAACGTTTTGTATTGTATTGAGCTGCCTTGAAATGTTTTCACGTTTAGAAATGCAATTGAATTTTATTTTTTCGTTTTTTCTCTCCTTGTTTCGTTTTTTGCTTTCACCACGTTTTCATATCTACAGGGTGAATGTGTCGTGCTAAGGGATCGAAAACTGAATATAGCTCCAGCTATCAAGAAACAAGTGAGTATGCCGAATATGTTCACATATATACAAGTATTAATCATTACATAGAATTTATTTATAACTTTGTTTATTTTGTAAAAAAAAGTTAAATGTGGATCTAAACTTATATATTATAAATTTATTATGTTTCGCCTAAACGTAGGCAACCACTTCACGAAAGTCGAATAGTAAAATATAA